GTCCCCAATACAGTTCCGCATTCGCATATTTTTCGCACTCCTGCAGCATCAAATCATACGGAACTGGAAATAGTTGTTCGATTCTCGTGAGTGCTACCTTATCATCCAATTTCCTTTTCGCCCTCTCGTTTTTAAATTCGTAATAGACCGTACCACTGCAAAAAATCAACCTTTTAACGTTGCCGGCGTTTTTGGACGCAGGACCTGGGTCAGGAATGACTCTCTTGAATCCGCTGTTCTCAGTCATTTCGTCGAAAGAGCTTTGTATTTCAGGACGTTTTAAGTACGATTTGGGCGTGAACAATACCAGAGGTTTGCGAAAAGGCATAGCTATCTGCCTCCTCAAAATGTGAAAATAGTTGGCGGAGTTTGAACAATTGGCGACAATCCAGTTGGCGTCTAACAATTGTTGTTCAACGAATGTTTTAGAAAATTCCGGTACATGTTCCGGATCATCACTAGTCAGTTGTAAGATACGTTCTACTCTAGCACTCGAATGGTCTGGACCTTGTCCTTCCATTCCATGGGGAAGTAGTAGCACGACGCCACTTTGACGGATCCATTTCGATTCGCCTGAATTAATAAACAGGTCAAGCGCCGGTTGGCCAGTGTCGAAGAAATCACCGTATTGACATTCCCAAATAACTAATGCTTTCGGACTTGTCATTGAATAGCCTGCTTCAAAACACATAACACCGTATTGTGAGAGGGAACTGTTGCAAACGGTGTACGGCGCTTGATCGGGCCATAAGTTACTCAGTGGTACGTAAGATTTGTTAGCTTCGCTTTGATGATGAAGCACGTGATGCCTATGAGAAAGAGTACCGCGTTCCACATCTAGGCCTGATAATCTAACGTGGATTCCTTCTTTTAATAGCGATCCAAAAGCAAATGCTTCGCCTAAACTCCAATCAGCGAGCCTTTTGGCAACCAGTTCTTGCCTTTGTTTCAGAATTTGTTCAACTCCTTTATGTAATTCGAATTGTGGCGGAGGTTCGGAGAATTTTTGCGCAATATGCTTCAGTACATCTTCCTTAATACCTGTTGGACCGAATTTGAGTAGATCTTTGCCTTTGAACCATCCTGGCCAAGGACTGTCCAGCCAATCGCTGAATCTCACAGTCTTAGCTTTCAAAGATATGTCGAGCTCTTTTTGACAATTGTCGTCAAAATCTTTGAGAAATTTTTTAACGTCGTTATCCGTGACGGTTCCTTCTTTGACCAATCGGTCTCCGTAAGTCTTCCAAGCAGGTTGCATAGATCGGATTAAAGTGTACATTGTTGGATTAGTGAACATTGGTTCGTCGGCTTCGTTGTGTCCATGCCTCCTGTATCCTACAATATCGATAATGACATCTTTTGCGAACTTTTGTCTAAATTCCGAAGCTATGAAAGCGACTGGAATCGTCCTGTCCGGATCCTCAGCATTAACATGTAGAATAGGAGCGTCGATCATTTTTCCAATATCTGTGCAATAAAGGGACGACCTCGATTGCCTCGGTTCTGCAGTGTAGCCAATTTGGTTGTTTACCACAATGTGAATACAGCCTCCGGTGCAGTAGTTCTTCAAACTAGCCATCTGCAAGGTTTCGTAGACAACCCCCTGGCCACAAAATGCGGCATCTCCGTGAAACAGTATGGCCATCACTTTGCTCCTTTTCTCATCACCGGTAAAGAACTGTTCTGACCGGGCTCTGCCCAGGACTACCCCGTCAATAGCTTCCAAGTGGGATGGGTTTGCAAGAAGTATAACTTTTACATCCTTCTTCGCACGTTTGTTCGGGACCTTTACACAAGCTCCTAAATGATATTTGACATCCCCGCAACCTTCTTCTTCTGGTTGGATGCCGTGAAACTGAACAAAAACTGAGTTTAAAGGCATTCTACAAATACTTGTGAACAGATTCAGTCTCCCTCGATGTGGCATTCCAATGACGAAGGTTTCGACTCCAAGTTCAGCGCTCCTATCGATTATAAATTCGATCAATGGGATAAGTGCGTCACAACCTTCTAATCCGAATCTTTTTTCGGTAGTCCATTTGCGGGCACAGAAAGCCTCCCATGATCCTGCTGTCAACATCCTGTGCAGACACATTATTCTTTCCTCTTTAGTGTAATTGTAAGCTCCCGGAGTTTCTACTCTTTTCTTCATCCATTCTGCTTGCTCCTTATTTTTGATGTGCGTATATTCGACGCCTATGGATCCGCAGTATACTTCGTTTAGACGTTTTATAATCTCTCTGAGTGGTAAAACCTTTTCTGGGCCCCCAATGAATGTTTCTTGGGGAAGTTCAAAGCCCAAATTCAAATCTTTTTCTGAGAATAGTTCAAAGTCGTTTATTGGATCTGGAGGAGATGCTGTTGTGACTTTTGTTGCTGGGAGTTGAAGGGGGTCAACCTTAGCTTTGGTATAACCCCTCGTTTGATAACTGTTGATCAATTCCTGAAGGGCTATATAAGCGTTTAGGGCTGCAGCTCCTGTGGGAGCAGCCGTTGAATAATTTATCTTCAAAGATTTCAAAATGTTTGGAGATATCTTGACGTCAGACGGTGTTTCAAATATGCGTTCGTGATGACAACGAATTTTTGGGATTTTCTCTTTCTCTACGAAATAATTTGTATTTTGTATACCATGTAGCCCTGGTTTATGTTTAATTGAGGTTCTTTCTTCTTCTACGTATTCGTTCACACGTTTTAGGTCGTTGAGCTGCGGTTTGCACACTTTATACTTATTATTGCATGCAGTGGCTGTATGAATTTGGTGATAATTACCAGGCGTTATGTAGTTTCCGAACCGTCGGAAAAGTTTCCACGATGCTGTTCGAAATTTTGATGAGGTCGTGTCCAAAGCGGCGTTCGCCATATTAATATAAACATTAAAAACTAGAATTTAAATGATTCGAGCCGGATGATTATTCAGGAAAACTTAGAATTTGACATTGTGACATTGTGTAAAATGTCATTGGTAGCTTTAGAACGTCAACATACTTTATTGATTTTGAATCACTTAACGGAATTCATAATTGAAGATTTAAGTTGTACATCCAAAAGAACTTAGGAAACTCGGTTAATATTTCACTTTTATTATTACTCTTGTCATGTTTATAAATTACTAGTGACCCGCCCCAGCTTCGCACGGGTGCAATGCTGATACTAAATATATTTTTGTTTTGTTTAGATTATTATCGAAAAGGGGAAATCTTCAAAAGATACCCCCTGAACATACTAAATATACTACAGAATGTCTTTATATACAACATTCACAGTTTTTTTGTCATTAGACAATACAAACCGGCCTCCCGGCCGGTACCGCCGCAACTACTATGTCCCTGCATTTTAAATCTGTAATGTCTTCAAAAATATTCATTTAAATTACATGCTGTAAATGGCCATATTGATCTATATTAAATGCACAATGTATTTAAAAGTACTTAATTGGATAATAATTAATGCTGTATTGCCTACAATCGCTTCGTTATTCTATTAGGTTATTAAGTCACTTCTATGTTCGCGAACGATTAATTTAAAAATTTGAAAAGGTTGTTAAAGGTGTATGTCTAGAGCATGGCGCTGTACAGGTGCGAAACATGGACAGTGGGCATGGCGGAAAAGAAAAGGTTAGAAGCGTTCGAAATGTGGTGTTGTAGGCGAATGATGAGGAAAACGTGGATAGAAAAGATTAGAAATGAACAGGTTTTAGAAAGAATAGGAGAACAGAGGACTCTATGGAAGTCAATAAAAAATAGGCGAGATCGGTTGGTAGGACACCTTCTCAGGCATGAAGGTCTAGTCAGAGGCATATTAAAGGCAGAAGCAGGAGTAAGAAGCGGTACAGGTAGACCTAGATTAGATTACTGTTCGCAGATAGTTCAGGATGTGGGTTCTTCTAGTTTTAGGGAAATGCGAAGACTAGCTGCAGGATAGGAAAGAGTGGAGATACGTGTCCAACCAGTCTTAGGACTGACGACTTTATGATGATGAACACAGAATTTACTATTTTCCAATTATTTCGTATTACGTAAGATAAGAAATGTTGAGTCTAGAGATGCAGCGGATAATGATTTTGCCGAGTACCGGGATAGCTGGGAAAAACAACTATAGAGTTAATGGTTCTTGCCTTCGTTCTGGTGTTTTTTCTATTAAAATCCACCATCGTCAACGTCCAAAACCACATTAAGTCCTCCTCAAAAAGTAATTTAAACTCTAAACCAATGACATTTTAATTCTTGGTTGTCGAATTTTCAATGAAAGTGTTGAGTTGATACCGTTGAAACGAACCCCTGTAATTGTTTATAAACAATAAAAGTCTGCAAGGTAACGAAAATTTATCGTTAATTAAAACCTGATATACCAGCAAGCGTTAAAAATTTTAGCAGTTCGACCGTACTGACGTATTCATGTTCACAAGAAAAAGTAAACACGAGAACGAAAGTTATACCAAACAGTTGTGTATGAAATATTATTCTGAAAATTCAGTTCTGAATTTTTTACCCACTACACAACACCTCAAATTAATGAGGGAAAAATTGTTGCTGTTGTCACACCCCCGCCGGGAATCGAACCCGGGACCTTTGGCTTTACGCACCAATGTTCTAACCTCTAAACTACGAGAGGTGACAACAGCAACCACGACTAACCGACCTACAAGGTTAACGATCCGTCGTACTAATGTAACTATATACTGTTGTCCCGGGTTCGATTTCCTGCGGGGGTGTGACAACAGCAACAATTTTTCCCTCATTAATTTGAGGTAGTGTGTAGTGGGTAAAAAATTCAGAAATATATTTTCAGAATAATATTTCATATTAAACTAACTCACTTCTAAAAAGATGTCTAAATTCTACGTATGTTTAAACAGTTGTGTATTAAAAATTGTTTATCTAAAGAGCAGATTTATTGTTTTTGCAGGTTTAATAATATATATTTTATCAAGGATTCACTATTCTAAAGTTCCTGCAGACAAAATTGTTGGGTAATTATATTTGGATAATGCTCCTTACCTGTATCCAGAAAGGCATGTAGAATCCTGTGCAGCAAAGGATGGCTGCTGTCACAGACAGAGCCGCCCAAAGGAAACCCGCGACAGTCAATGACGATGCCATTGCATTATTTGCTTATGCATGACGTTTATCCTTTCGTCTTTGTTTGAACTTTACGTTGTCGTCGATGCAATTTCCGTTTAGCGAACATTCAAAGGCCGGAACGACATACGAAAGAATTTCATCTGAAAGATAAAAAAATGTATGCGTTTTTACAACTGTTAGAAAAAAGAGAAATCTACTTAGATACAACAAAAATATACAAGAAAGTTTATCTATACAATAACTAGGCAACACAAATACAAAAACATATTGATATGCTAGGAGCGAATGCCGCAGGCAATCGATACCGGCGACAAATTTGATGCACTCGAAAGCCGACAAACATCATCACCACAATCATCATCGTAAGGTCGTCAGTCCTAAGACTGGTTGGACACGCACCTCCACTCTTTCCTATCCTTATTAGTCAATTGGGGAACGTAGAAATGACAAGAAACTATCACAGGGTGAGGAAAGACGGAAAGCCGTCTCACCACCTTGCACCTTCGTGATCGTAAATTCGTCCCCCACTCTCGGTTTCTTGATAATAATTATTCTAATTTACTTACTAACACAGTAGGTAAATAGGTGTAAGCTTGCAGTTTTAAATAAACAATTTAGACGTACCAACTTTGTAGCAGTGAATTAAATAAGGGTTTATGTTTACTATGTAACACTACTGGGCTATACAGGGTGTCCCATTTATAATAATTAAAAAAAAAACATTGCTTCCTGACACAAAATAAAAAAAAAATGTTATACAATTTTTCAATCCAGTAACAATTGAGGTCGCAAATCGTCTTTCTAAATTTGAACGTACAATGTGTTTCATTACGGGCCTGGATCTAGGCGACTAACATTGCTCAGCTGATCTAGGGTAGATGTAACAAGTATCTATTGGGAAGACGCCGGATGCACTTTCACCTTGTGAAAAAAAGGTAAAAGTTAAAGAGAAAAGTGTACCTTTTATAAAAAATGTTGAAATTGTCCGCCATTCGCTTCAATGCAACACTGACAGTGACGTACCCAGTTGCTGCGAATTTTCGAATTATAGGATAGGCATTGGTGATGTAACTCACCACCAACTGACGGTTGAATAAGAACCCTACTGAAATGCACTATCACACTACTACTTGTCCTTATTGTAATAGTTTTTTATGAAATGACCACTAAAAAAATAAACTAACACTAAAAAACAAGTAAATTCCACAACAATCCAAAGCGAACTGAACAACCTGTTAGAAACTACAACATTATGTGTATTTATTCCAGTTACTTCCAGCAGTGTAATTATACGAGATTATATCAATATTTAGCTTTTTACATTTAATGAAAACACAATAACCAACTTGGTCCTTCTGGACACATTCTTGTATTACTCCACGTGGGGTTAATGAGCCCTGCCAGGCAAAACTAACGTTTAACACATGTGAATGGTCAAAGTAGGTCTGCATCTTGTCTCAACTTTTACAACCATAACACATACATTTGTTTTCGTACACTAGTACGTTATGTTACAAACCTTTACCAAACGCTGGGTGGTGAGGGTTGTTTGTGCACCGCTTCTAACTATTCCGTAGTCGTTAAAATTTCTTTTCTATTTAAAATAACATAATACTCGACGTCATGGGCTACATTAGGTCCACTTCAGTTTACGATCATGGGATTTTCGATTGTGATAGGTACATAGTTTTTCTAACGTGTTTCAGTCATCTAATGGACCTTAACGCGAGTGCATTTTCTTCGGCTGATCCGTAACTTAATACCAAACATAAACAATAACATCACCCCAAAAAGCAGCTGATTCCGACCTACTGAAGGTGAATTTTTCTACGATCAGCTGGCAATCGTAATTAATTTGAGATTGTGCAGGGCCGGCATCAAAACTGTTATAATTTTATAATTTTTTATTTTGTTTCAAAAGTCAAAAGTGTTATAACAGTTTATGCTCCAAATGCCCGTAGGAGTCTGTGGTATAAATATTAATAACTGGGACACCCTATATAGACCAACTAGCGATCGTTTAAATAGCTACTTATATCAGTAACCAATTTTAATTCAGATTGAAGAATCACGAGAAGTGAGTAAGACAGGGTGATGAGACGGTTTGCCGTCTTCACTCACTGTAGTTAGCAGTAAACAATTATAGATGGCGATATACTGCTATTTACCTGATATTAATCATCTTATTTGAAGGGAGCAATTTAGACTTGGCCTAAATAAATTAAAAAGGAGACTACCCCACTACGCTCTATGACTAAGCTTTTCTTTGGGGGCACGTGTTTTGCTCATTTTTATTGTAAACACAATCTGAGTAATTCAACACATTACCGACGATTTATACTTTGAAGTCTGTAGCATAGTTTAAATTATTAGTAAATGGTAAATAAAGACAACTTTTTTATTTAGGTGTTTGTTCGTAAGTTGTTCGTCAAAAGCTTTTATTTCATTCGTTTGCTTTCGTACCCCTCGAAGCTGAGCCTGCCTGTGGCATTATAATTAAACAAACAGTGGTTTGATTTTGAAGTTCATTTAATTGGAAATTTTATATTTAGGTACGCAAATATTTGTACATAATTTTGTGAAGACAGGTTCCGTCATTCCTGAAGTATTAACGATTCATTACATGGCTGAATGAGTCTGAAATAATATTATTGTGACCGAATATCTTTACTTTAGAAAGTTAAATAAAGTAGTAATAAAACAATAATGATAATTACAAGAATTATTATTTATTAATAATTAAATTTTACTGACTGTGAAAGCGATTTGTATGATATTCGTCTAATTTCTTTAAGTTCAGTTTGTGGTCCCTAAATGGGGATGACACTAGTATCGAAACACTTTTAATTTGATAGGCTAGATTGATACTAACTAGCTATGTCAGATAAGATACATTAGCAGGTTAGTCAAAAAAAATAAATTAGTATTTTCTTAAAAATTTAATGAATTATTACAAACAGAGTGATAAATGCCATGTGTGGTATACAGGGTGTTTCTGTAATAAGTAGCAACCTTTCATAAGGAGATAGGGCACTATAAAATAATAACATTCGGAAATTTCACCATTTTCAAGAAAAATGTGGTTGAAAATGCAGACAAGTCTAATTCCGGCTCTGAAAAGAAACGCGACAATGCAACGCCGTATTCAACAGCTGGCAATTAGCAGCATCAGTGTTGTATTATTTCTTTTGTATTTTTCGCTCATGAATTGTTTATTAATTATTTGATTCAATTAAGAGTGATTCAAAGTGTTTATGTTATTGCCGTTAGTGGTTATTTGTTCTTTTAACGTTGTAACCTTGATGTATTTAGCTAGTCAATGGTACGTCAGATCATGTCTTGTCACCTTACATTTGCGCTTCGTGAGCGTCGTCGCCTGAACCATATCACCCTTACGAAGATGAAATCCCTGATTTCCCCACAAAACAACTCCTAAGTATGTACTATTGCTGCATCCTTATCATTTACAGTAAATACAAGCCTTGCAAAATACTGATTTTCAGCAGATAGTGGAATTGTATCAGTGGCTTCGACACGAAAGTACTGCAGAGCCCAATAGTTTTCAAAGAGTGTTCTTGTGATTGCGGAACTTTTTTGTTCATTCAGAAGTAGTTTTGATAGACGTCTCGATACCTGTTTTCTAGAGCGGAATTCAAATTTACTTACATGCTAAGGTGTAGTTTAAATAGTGCTACATACTATATAAAAATAACAAACGTTGTTATTAATTCATTATTACCGTGATAGGTCATCTAAACATTATGTGCAGTAGTAGTTTTGTTGTTGTTTACTTTAGAAGATGGAAAAGCGGTATTGTTTATGTTTTCGAACAATGTAGCTTTTGAGTCCTTATCTAAACTAGGTGCAAAAGTACCTACAGATCTAGGTTGCCAATTCACGCCCAGGACCGGCTTCGAATTGTAACTTGTCGTCTTCTTTTACTAAAAATTTTGTTTCTCAATCCCGCAGCTGTACTCACCACGAGAATCCCTATTTCATCTTGTTAACACCCTCTGATACTTGCTACTTATTTCGGAAACACCCTGTATTTCTGATTTTAGTGCAATTCAAAATTGTTCAACAAGGTACCAACTTGTCGAATCCATGACGTGGCGTAGCTAACTCTGCGTTATAAGCACGTATTAAAACCGATCGCAGACTATACTACGTCTTGGATGCGCTCTGGCAAAATCGTAGGTAGGGAGAAAAAAGCTCATTATACTCTCGACTCTTGTTCATTAAACATACTTCTTCATACAGTACCTGCCAAAAGTTTTCTTCAATCAGGAATAGTAGTGCGAGTCGAAAACAAGCGTTAGAGCCTTTAATATGTCTTCAAATATAAATAAACATCTTCTTGATATTTTCAGTAGTAAATGGTACCAATAACAGCACATTTGAGCAATGCAATTTTAGTGGATAAAATGGTCAATTTTTCCGTGCAGTACTGTACGGACTATACGCTCCTCACATGTTAAGAGTTTGGCCAAGAGTTGTCTCCTTCCTTGTCTGGCCTAGTGCTGTTCTTTTCTAGTTTGCGCCGGTCAAACTGAAGGTCATATCGCTACAGAAAGTAAACGAAGTATACCATACGAACATTTTGATTTGTTTAATTACGTGCCTATAACGTAGGGTTATCTAAGCTGTGATTTCAGTTCGACAGGTTGATATCCTTATGGTTTATGAAAAGTGTTGTACATTTTTGAATTCCACTAAAAGTACCAATATATAGAGATGTGCAAAATGGGTTTTTAAATGTATTTAAATACAAAATGCAAATACTTTTTCGATTTGCTATTTCAAATGTTAAGTTCCAAACACATATTTTCAAAATACCTTTTGTAGTACCTATTTAATTTTCTACATTTACATAACTATGAAATATTTTCTATGAAAACTATGCAAGCATTTGTTAATTTTTTTGAGTATTGGAGTTTTTCTAGACTAATAGTGGTGTTTGCACTGTATCACCAGCTGCGAAGATTAAGTATGATTCATATTTTGCTATGGTATTTGATGTGATCGAAATATAGTTTTTCTATCTTTAGTATTATATTACCTATCGATATTTTCATGGAGCTCCTTCTTGTTTATAGCCAATTTCAAATGAAATTGTATTTAAGAACACGTCGTTTCCGAA